CCCCAAAACCCCAAAACCCCAAAACCCCAAAACCCCATTTTCAAGATTTTTAATTGAAATTTAATTCTTAATTCAATTTAATTCAAAATGAGCCAGGAGTAAGAGTTGTTAGATTACTACTCCACAGAGAGCTACAAAGAAATAGAATTCAGTTATTCAAATTCTCTGCACAATTCCCTTGATTTATTTCATTTTTTGATAACAAAAACTAACTGTCATCTATAGTTTTTCAAGAATTTCAAATGAAGGAGATAGCCATTATGGCTTTGGTTCAACTACATTTAAAAATAGGTAAGATTACTCCTTATCCACATAGCAAGGCAAATTATACATCCTCTGCAAACCAGCCCCCTCCTATAACCGCATCTCCAGAGGCTAAACTGAAGTACGAGAACAGGAAGGTGGAGACGGAAATTGAACAGCTACATTTGGCCAACCAAAAGTAACCCCTAAACTAAACCTCTAGCTTATGCCAGGAGAAATATGACTTCGTCCATAAAACAGAAGATAAGAAGAACGAGATTCAGCAAACAGCAGATCATATCGATCAGGCTAACAAGGAAATGGTCAAAAATTGGAAAGATCTTGGAGAAGCTGGCCAAAGATCATCTAAAGGCCTTCCAAAGGTGAACCTCCAGAAGACCAAGAAGCAATGAGTTAAAAAGCAAGAAAGGCTTGAACAAGAGAGGAACGAACTCGCTAGAATATGTCAGATGCTTATTGACGAGCTTAATGAATGCGATGTGAGAATCAAACTTGCTGAAGAAGTCATTGGAGACCTAAAAAGCACAGACCTTATCGATATGCTTACTAGAAATGAGAGGACCAAGGAAGCCATGCTACAAGAGATAGAAGACTTACAGGATAGATCACAAGATCTAGATGGAATCATTGCAAAGCAAGACAGGGAGATTGATAAACTAGAGACCTTTATCAACTCTCCAAATGGCCTCAACCAGCAAAGAGTCACTGAATTGGAGAATGAACTAGCTGTTGATGAGCAAACAGAAGAGCATTTAGTACAAATAATAGAAGACCTGAAGGCAAGAGCTGACCAATACGATGGCAGCTTGATTAATTATGATAGAGAACTCACCAAGAAGAGTGATGACTATAATGAACTCAACGTCAAGCTTGTAGATGGGGAACAAGAAGTCAAGAATTTGAAGAAGCAAACAGGGATCTATAACCTTGAGAGCTCTCTGAGATAATTCAATTTTATTTGAAACTATTGGGGTTTTGGGGTTTTGGGGTTTTGGGGTTTTGGGGTTTTGGGGTTTTGGGG